CCCGCCCCCCTTGAAGGTCAAGTTAATTTTATTTAATTATATTTTCTCTATAGCGCCAGATCACAACAGAAGTCATTTAAAGTTACCTTTCCGATAGAACGGGTCTATACCTTGTTCTTTTGTTAAACAAACTAAATAGCCTTATGTTATTTATTTTATTTACACGACGGCATGTCATTTCAGTCTCTATGTTATGGTCGCACTCTCTGTATCACGCACAGCGGAGTTCCGCCCCGATGCGCACGCACGCACACACACACACACACGTGCGCGCACTCCCACTAGTATTTGTAAATATTAAGCCGCAAAACAACTATTTAAATATGAATTCTGCGTGTCTCTGTGTTAATGAATGGCGCAGACGCGCGGGTTTGTTTACTACTTGTACTGAAGCGCGCGTGACCCCAAAAGCCGTAAACCTAGGGGAAACACTGAAGCTGTCATAAGAGGCAACCACTTGTCCTGCTTAAAGGGGTCATATGATGTTGCTAAAAAGAACATTATTTTGTGTATTCGGTGTAATGAAATGTTTATGCGGTTTTATGGTTCAAAAAACACATTATTTTCCACATACTGTACATTATTGTTTCTCCTCTCTTATACTGTCTTGTTACGCGTTGCCACATCGTGACGTAGACATGTGGGTGCGTGTTAGAACGAGCCGTTTTAGGTAGGCGTGGCTGACTCTTAACTTTTATAAAGAATATCTCTTTGGATTTGAGACTTTAGTCTTTGCAACTTCACAGATCTTCTTTATGCACCAAGAGCTTGTAACACTCCAAAGAGAAAGGAAAAATTGAAATCGCATCATATGAACCCTTTAAGGTCTGTTGCATATTTTGAAGATGTTTCAATTTTATTTACCTAAACGGGTATAAAGCTTAACACCCAGAGATTTAAATAAAACACATTTTCATAGACAACTGTTGTATGTTAAGATAAGTGTTGTGTTTTCTTTCCCTTTGCTTTGTCATTTCACATTGTTTTTTTTACTCACATCGTTTACTCGCGTCACAAAACACTTTCACAAGCTGTGCACACTTTACTTAAGAAAAAAAATTTACCACTTCAAATTAAACTTGTTTTTTTTGTATTTATTTGTATTTATTTAGTGGTTGTGACACTCAGTAGTACTTAAATTGCATACACTGTTTATCTGAACTCCAGTAATAAAATATAAACTGAGTAAATGAGCAGGAATGCCCATGGGATGGGATTGGCCTTTCCCGCAGTCATGACTGAAGTGAAATGACCTCAGTGTGCATTGTGCGTGTCTTACAGAACAGAAAGCTAAGAGGAAGCAAAGTAAAGCCCCTGGCCATGCCCACAAAAATGAAAACAAGGTAAAAAAGCACACAAGCCAATAAGAGACAGCCAATATTAAATGGCCTACTCCCACTCCTTCAATATTTGGCACATGGAGCATTTACCTTCATGTAGTGCCAGATTTTTCCTGCGTGAAATATTGCCCCCTTGTCCCCCTCCCCAAACAGGCATCGCGGCAGGCCGTTGCTGAGGTAAAGGATTCTTCTTCTGCCTCGGTCGTGACATGCCAGTCTCGCCCAGCGTCACTAGTCTCCGAGGCAGACTCCAAAGACATGTTTGCGTCACAACAAGCAAAGCATCCTGCAGAGGACATCATCATGGCAATCACAGGTTAGGCTCAGTGTCATTGTTCATACTTCTGTTCACACTGATGTGTTATTTGTGGCTGCATCATGTACAAAACAAATGAAATGACCTCCAAAAATTAAAATGATTTCTTTTATTCCTCATCTAAATCTAAAACTGCATTTGGAGACCAGTTAGTTGTCGGCAGCTTTGATTCATCACTTTAATGCTTTTCTGTCCATCCCTCTGCCCTCCTTCCACAACAGCATTACACAGCCAACTGCCGCCTCAGCCATCCAGACCTAGTGACAAAGCTGCTCCGCTACCTCGTAAAACCTGGACTGCCCCTTTACCACTCAACCTACCTCCAGACCAGGCTACCAGTCCTTTATGTAACACTTCTGCCTCCTCCCCCTGTAATGACAACACAGCCACCTCACCCAAATGTTCCCAATGTTCCCACGTGTCGATTCCCCCACACCCAACCACTTCACTCCTTTCAGACCCGTCGTTCCCCCGTAGTCCCTTGCTCGATCCTCTTGACCCGCAGGTCTCTCGGGTTGGCCCCCCATCGCCTGCTGCTGCAGAGAAGCCTCCATATAAGTCTGAGCAGGAAGGTAAGAGGTCGGCCTTGATGTGTCAACACCGCCGCCCGCTGATCTCCGTTCCTCGCTCGCTCCCCTCGCTGTGTTACCGTTGTGCATCTGCAACTTTCCCCTTCCATTGTGGGTTAGCATTGTATGTTCATCATAACTGGTGGTTTGTTGAGTTTTGTCATCAGTATAGTTCTCTTCCCAGCTGCGTATCATTGCTGTCTCTCACTTACAGCGCCGCTTTAATGTATGTGTAAAACAGAATATCATTCAAGGTAAACTCCATCTCTCTCTTTTTCTCCTTAATCTTGCAGGCGTCCCTCCTCTTCTGTCACCACTGACCTCACCTCCTGCAGCCATGCCTGTCATAGGATGTCAGCCTACCTCCAGCTCTCAGTTTGAGGTAATTTTATATTTCTGCTCAACTTGTCTTCATATGGAGAAAAACTCTTTTGCATAGTTTATTCATTTAGTTTGAGTAAATTGTTGTCATTTAAAAGGGATTTTATAATAAGTTTGTTGCAAACGTTTTTATATATATATATATATATATATATACTGAACATATATATGTGTGTACACTACACAACGTAAGGCTTGGATACACTATACGACTTTTAAAATCTGAACAGATTTTAAAATGCAAGGCATCACTCACTGACTTTGTAAACAATCACAGAGGAAAAACTGGCCATCAGATTCATACACTGAACGACTGTACACTACCAGACTTTAAAGTTGTTCTGATCACAACAAGCTCATGCAGAAACATGCGCCTTGTTGCTAGGAGACGCATGACAAATGAAAACAATGTGTTCCAAAAATTGGCTCAAAATATCAAACATGTTTGGATTCATAGTCTGAAGCCAAAAAATCTGTGTCTGTGGCCATCATACACTACACAGTTTTCTATGAAATCTGTCAACTCAAATCTGCAGACTGGCTCTGACTTTTGGCAACTAGCATTGACTTCTCCAGACTTTAAATTGGAGTGAAAATCGGGACCAAGATCATGAAGTTTATTCCAGACTTTATTGTTGCCGTGGAGAAAGAGGAACAAGAGAGAACTCGTAATCTGCTGCAGATAGAAACTGGCCGAGAGAAATTATTCATTTAGAAACAAAGCAAGTGCCTGTCTTTATGAATGGATCATTGAATCATTGACTCAAATGATTCATTTAAAATGATTTATTCAGGAAAGAAACACCGCAGTGTTGCTCTGAGATGCACAAATGTTCTTCTCCAGCTTTGTGTGAACTATTGTCATTGGAGAAAGAGAAGGAAAAAAAACAATGTGTCTAAACTCACCCAGTGTTAACTTCCTGTTTGTTAAACTCTTGTATAAAATTAATATCACATTTGTGTGTGAAAAGGAAGTTCAGTGAAGTAACAGCGTTTTTTACCCAGATGGATGATGTTTGACCAGGTTGTTGTTGGTGACATACAAATGACTTTTTGTACTTGCTTTCTCTCTGCAGCAATGTAGATTGTTGTCACCTCTGCATGAGAGTCCATTAACCAACATGAGGGATGAGCAAAGCTGCCCGGAGACACTGGAAGAGCCCTCTGTTCAGCTGCACAAAATGCACGGTCCGTATTTCTCCCACCGTTTTCCACCAGAGTACTTTCCTTTTTCTCAGTGGTTTCTTGAAATGGGGTCTTTTTCACATTTTCTAGGAGCCAAGGACGATGGCAGTGAACTATGCAAGCCCATTCAAGATACCAAATCCAACCTGCCTAAAAAGGTACCTATGCTTTATATGGGTACTAAATGAAAAATGCACTCTTTGGTGTTCTCTCCGATAACCTGGACCTGTTTGTGTGTGTTAAAGGATATTGTCCTAAAGCATGCAGACTCCTGGACAAGCCTGGGTAAGATGGCTACTCAAACACCTTGCCCAATCAAATCATCCAAGGAAAGTTTCCAGCAGTTTCGCAAAGTTGCCATGGAGAAAGAGGAACGAGAGAGAGCTCGTAAACTGCAGATTGAAGCTGGTCGTGAGAAGAGCAACTCAGACAAAAGCGGGTATAAACAGAATTGTAGTTTCAAGGCAACAGTAAATAAAGCTGTGTTATGTAAGTTTCATTTTGGAGGAGTTTCAATCTCTGCATGGCTGGAGACGAGATTCCAGCTGACCACAGCTTCCCATGGCTCTGTTTCAAAACCTAGAGAGTTTGATAAATGCATTCTAAATTGTATTTCTATTATTAATTTATACTCATATCCCCCTGTGATGATTATACGACTGTTCTCGCTGATCTAGCTAACAGTGTGGCCTTTTAATGATTTCTAGTCTGACGCAGCAGCTCCAGAAAAACAAGCTGGACTGCCCGCCTTCAAAGCCAGAAGTGGAGTCAGCAGAGCTGCCCCTGATGGCGGCCATCTTGGATACCCCCAAAGCCCCTGAGCCCTGCTCTCTTCCACAGAGCTCTGTAGACCGAGAACGAGAGATGGCTCGCATGAGAGAGCAGGAGCGCCGTAGGAGAGAGGCTGTGAGTGTACTGCACACTAAACATTTTAGAATGTAAATTAAAAATGTTAGTACAAAATACTATAGAACTCATTATAATCAGTGATGCTGTCTACACTGGATGCGGCGCGACACCACAAATCCCCGACAGAAAACTGAACAAATTTCAAATGATTTTCAACGGTCGCTTTGTCGCGTCGTGTAGACAGACTTTAGCTGTTGCGGCGCGGCAACTGTAGCGTCCGATGTATACACTGTGTTGCTCACCTGTCTAGAAGAAACAAAGCAACCTCGGCATCCGATCGCAGGCCTTCCGCTCCTTGAGTTCTCTCCAGCGCTGGAAAGCGGATCCGATATTTACATGGGTCCTACTAATCGTAAGCCTTCTTTTGTTCCGCAGACGGTTTCCTCTTTTGTTTTTATCCGCCATCTCTATCTTTCTGTCGTCGCTCGGCTAATGTCCTGTGCTGTGCACTGAGCGCTCTCTCGTCCCCATCATGAGTAGACATGCCCCTTACTGCTGATTGGCTACAAGTTTGTTTTGGTACTCGGCCCGACTCAGTTTTCTAAAGCGTTTTTGAAAAAATACATACCCCACCTTTAATGCCTTTTAAAAACATTTAATCCAATTAGTGATTAGATCTTCTTAACCACAAACTTTGTTACATTATTATTATTATTATTATTATATAACTATATAATAATGTTTATTATAATGTTTAATAACAAATCTGTTATGCTGTTTATTAGCATTAATAACAATATACATTGTGGTTTTATTAATAATAACCACAGTAAACATTGTTACTGTTCTTACCATGTAATTAAGTTGTGTTGGTTGATTATAATTATTATTATGATCAACCACAAACTTTATTATTGTTGTTTTTGTTATATAAATATTGTTATATAAATAAAAATAAAATAACTACAATCATTATGAACAAATTAATTATTTATAATTAATAATAATAATATACATTTTGGTTTTATTATTAATAACCACAATAAACATTACTGTTTTGTTGTTATTGTTAATAATAACAATAATAGTAACGCTTTTATGTTTTTAATGCTTTTCTTTTTAATGTTGTTTCTCTTAGATGTCTGGAGTCATTGACATGACCATGCAGAGTGACATAATGGCAACTTTTGAGAAGAACTTGGATTGAGATAAACAAATAAAAAAAAATTTGCTTGTGTATTGGCGCTACTGTTCGGTGAACAGTGTAGGCCGTCTTTTCCCTTACCAGACTTGCTCCATGAGTCCTGGCGACTGAAACGGGTCTTTAGTCTTTTGACGGTCAAAAATACTGCAATACAGCTGCATCACTTTACATTTGTACTAAGTTAGCTCTTGTAAAAATAAGAAAACAGTCGAGGACTGACGGTCGTGTATGATGTTGTAAGACCAATATTTGCGCCATTAATAGTGTTGAGTGTATATTCTTGAGTTTTCGTTATTTGGATCCGTTTGAAGCTTGGATACAGAAATGCCTGAACTGAAATGCTGCCGATTGTCTGAGGTAGTTTGGAAAGAGAAACATGTCTGTCGTTTCACAACAGTTTTTGTGTTCTTTAACATGGTTTGTTTTGTTTTTTTTGTTTTTTTATACTGAAGAATGTTTACTTCTCTTTATTATTATTGCTATCTGATTCTTTGACACATTCCATCGACACTTCTGCTGTATGAATATTGCATAGCTGGTCGTCTTGCGCTAGCTGTTGTGAGAACTGTAAAGGATATTCCTGTGCAGGGCCCTGTCCCTGTTTATCCTACTAGTTGGTAATTCATGTATTTGACGTAAAGCAGCAATTTAAACAGAAAATATGCTGGCTGCGTTAAACCTGTCCTGTTTAAATATATATATATATATATAAAAAAAGATATTTCTTTAGTGTCTGAAATGTATCGTAAGCATGTGTGTATAAATATTTCCCATTTTGTTATGGGGGCAGCCTATTTTTTCCCCAGGTGTCCGCCTCCAAAGAATCAGACTTATTTAGAGGAGTTTTTGCACTTCCTGTGCTTCTATTTGTATCCATTTGGAAGTGCAGTGCCATAAAGTTTCTCTCGGAGATGATAGGCAGTTCTCTGTGCCTAAAGTCAGCGTGTTCTCCAGAGCCGTGTTGATTCCAAGGTGTGATCTGGTGGAATGTACTGCACTGAAGATATGTTCAAAATCGTTTCTGACTATAATGGTTGTGGCAGTTTTCATCACAAGCACTTTATTCATTACACCACCATGCTGAGGTGTCACATGCTATCGAGGGGAAGAATAATATATTATTTCAAAGAAATCACATTCTAAAAGTTAAATCAATAAAGTATTTTCTTTAAAGTTTGTGCATTGTGGTCACTTAAAATGAAGTAGAACATTTATATATATTTTTTTTTATTTACCTCATTAAATTGTTAGAAAATGACATTGAAGGCATTACTTTAATTCATGTTACAAAACATTTCTATTTCAACTCAGTGCTGTTCTTCTGACCTTTTATCACGATTTTAACAAAAATATTTAAAATGGCTGTTTTCAAAATTTTATATGAAATATTTTTGAGCACCAAATTAGCATATTATAGTTTCTGAAGAATCATGTGACACTGAAGACCGGAGTAATGATCCTGAAAATGTAGCTTTGCCATCACAGAAATAAATTACGTTTCATAATATATTAAAACGGAGAAGAGTTTTTTTAAATTGTAAAATATTTCACAATAAGCTATTACTGTTTTTACTATATTTTAAATTAAATAAATGCAGCCTTGGTAAGAGACTTTATTAAAATAGATTTTAGAGATTAAATGGAAATCATTTTAGTTTTCAAGTAGGCTATCCAGTATTCTGTTCGCATCATCCATTCTGTGATGTTTTGTGCTATTAGGTGGTTTGCCTCATTCAAAACATTCTATTAGATAAAATCACAAAAGTATGTATTTCTGAAATACAATTTAGAAATATCAAAATTATTTCAAGTTGACAGTGATGTAAGCACTAGTTCACTCTATTTCAATAATAATAAAGCTGAAATTAATCAAATGTACCTGCCTACGTCTTTCCAAGTCCAAAAGTTATTTGCATCGCCTTGTCTTTAACGGTAATTTATGTTTCCAAACTGATTTAATAAATCTTTGCATCATGAATATCGACCGTGCCCTAGGCGGAGCTTAGTCTAACTGGTCTCGGGAAATCATTATTTTAATGCACCATGAGGCACAGTATATTTTATTGTTGTATCCAGAGGCATCATGCCCATTAAAGTGAGGGGGCACGTGTCGTCCCCCCCCCACAGATTTCTGAGCCAAGTGGATTTTGAATGCAGCTTCCAAAAGACAAAAAATAGCCGACTTATATTTTTTTATTGACAGACGCGTTTGTACAGCGCTGCATTATAACCAATCACACACGATTCTGTTGAGCTTATGAATGCAATGACCAATCAGAGGCGTTCAGGTGAGTCATCGCTGAAACGCGGTGTTTTGTTCACTTGCTCGCTGACTGAATTATCTGGCAAATGCTCTCATCAGAAACAACAAAGTGCAGATGTGCGTACGAATGTAAGTAATATATTCATTTAACAGTGTAAACAGCTTCAGTGATCATAATGGGAGTTTTTGAGAGTGCCTGAACTCTGGGTAGACTGAATGAAAATGTTATTTGATAATGTAAATGTTCTTTACTCTGTAAAATGAAAGTGTTATAATTAGTAACGTACAATATTGTTATTAAATTCACATTAAATGCAAAGTCAGTCGTATTAAAAATATTTTATGGCATAACACCCATATCTGGTACTTAAGTAAAAAGTCGGGCTTTTATGTGTAGTTAATAGATTACACTATTAGTCATCACCATTTATTGATCAAATAACAATCTATAAAGGTGCAAAACGCATTTACTTAGGCTACACATATTTGAGAATCGAGATATTTCCTAATATAGTTAACACGTTTGGAAATATTTCGAATAAAAAGGAAAAAACATAAATAAAGCATAATCCTATATCAGTTATACAGTGCTATCCCCCCCACTTGTCCCCTCAAAAATCATGAGTGCATGACGCCCCTGGTTGTATCCAAGGTCAAATATCGGAAGACATCTGCACCTCATCTACACTGCGAGCGAGACAAAAACCCGATCTCTCCCGCGCAGCTTCTGCTCATTCTTACCGGCAGCGTTCGCGAGAGTCCAGAACAATGCGCGTGGGCAGTCTGTGAGCTCGCGCTCCACTGCGATCTGGGCCCAGACAGCTGTGTTGACTATAATTGGGAGCCTTCTAGTTTTGTCAGTGTGGATGGGGTGTAATGGTTCAGTCCGAGGTGCGAACACCTTTGGGACTGAGCATCTCTTCTGTCATACGTAAGCGTGACTCCGTACCGTCTACACAGGGATCCTCCCCGGTCAGGATGCGCTCGTGACGGTGCGACGGGGCTATAAGATGCGCGTCGATTTTGAGACGCAGGCAGCTGAGTAAACAAATCAATAAAAGCCGTGATCAACAAGCGGATTTCCGCAGTAATGTAAAGATGGCGAGACTGCTTCATAACTTGCTGTTGTTGACAGTCGGACTGACGCTGAAGATCAGAGTTATGGGATACTGGTCTCTCGTCTATGGATATTGCGCGCTATGCACGGGCGTCGCGCTGCTCAAACTTGGCTGGAATATCATCCTACAACCGTCAACAACCTTTCAGTGGACGGTTCGTGAGACACCCCCAGCGTGCCTGAATGACACGTCCTTGGGAACCCACTGTTATGTTAGAATCAAGGTAAGAGATCGATCGGTATAAGTTGGATGGATGGTTGACAGTATATGAAAGCATGTATACGTAAATATAGCTTTGCCCTTCGGTGGTGTTTTTTCTTTTCTTTTCATTTTTCTTTGAAATATTAACTTTGTCTTAGATGTTTCTCTTTGACTCCTTAGGAGAAACAAATGAGTCGATTGTTGACGTACAGTAAGAGTACAGAAGTATAAGCATGAATTCGAATAGTATAGCCTAAGCAATCATTTCATTTTGAAAAAAAAAAAAGACAAATATTAGTGTATTGATTGAGATTACATTTCAGGTTTGATATCTTACCATACCTGGGCACAATTTGAGATATTGTTGAGAAGATGCATTAATTCACTAGGTGTTTCGCTAGAAGCAGAAGATCAAGCAAAAGTCTCAATTTATTCTCCTTCACTGGTGTCTAATAGAAACATTAAATGGATAGTTCACCCATTAATGAACATTAATGAAATGTACTCATCTCATCCTCATGTTCTTCCAAACCTGTATATGACTGACTATCTTCCTTGGAATGTAAAATATTTACATTTACATTTATGCTTTTGGCTGATGTTTTTATCCAAAGTAATTTGAATTGCATTCCAGGTACACATTTTACATTTCACCAGTTCTTGCTTCCCCTGGGAATTGAACCCATGACCTTGGTAGCGCCATGCTCTACTGTTTAAACTACAGGAAAGCCCTAAAGGAAATGTCTGTAGGTTTTTTTTTGTTTTGTTTTTTTTTAAGAAATGGAAGTCAACTGTAACTAACACCGTTTGGTTACCAGCATTCTTTAAAATATGTTCTTTAGTGTTCTACTGAAAAAAGAAAGCCATACAGGTTTGAAACAACATGAGGGTATGATAAAATAATTTTCATGTTTGGGTGAATTATGTTTTTTCTTAAGGGAACTATTCCTTTAAAGAGGTTTATTCCTTTCTTTCCCATGTGTTTGCTCCCGGAAGAATAGTTTCCATCACTGAACATCAATTGAGCAATGTTCTGCAGCAGACAGCAGAGTGATCAGTTTCCAGCAAAATCATAGGCATTGCCTGGACTTCGCTGTCCACTCAAGAGGTGCTGAAAACAGTTCCTTAGGCAGTCTCAGGATAGCTGTTATGTGTATATACCTGCAGAGCTTTGAACATAACGTTCAAACATTAGGTACTCTGAATCTGCACTTTTTCTAAAAACGTAGCATCCTTTGAAGTCTTACACTTGAAAACAACCACTTTAAGTTTTGTTCCTGAGTATGTAACCCTTTCGTAACGTGGGGTATACAAACATTTCTAAAGTAAAATATTGTAAGAGGGGGTCTCTGCAACTGATGGGATTGAGGGATTTGGTATAAAAACTCTGGTATCAACTATGATCGCTATCTGAACGTAAAATAGCAAGTGACCTTGAGGAAATGTTATTTTCAAGGGAGAAACTTTTTTTTTTTTCATGCCGAGTTAAAAAAATAATAGTAATAATAATAATAACTTCATATTTTATCAAGTTATTTTTTTGAGATGAGATGTTTTCTGTACCCACAACTTGTCTGTTTTCAAAAGGAAAATTTTGCATTGCAAACAATGTTCTTGAAATAGCCAGACAACCCGAGGATACTATCACATGCAATTTGATGCAGGCTGTCATTTAACAGGGTATGAATTTTCCCATAAATGTCAATTGAAGATATTGCTTTAATATTAGCTGAAGCCTGTGGACACGACTCCCTCTCTCTGATGCATTTTATAGCTAGCAGAGAGTGGTGTGAGAATAGATTTTACATCAGGATGGACAGGCCCGTGTGATTAAAGAGACCAGACTGCTTTTTATCATATCCTCCGTTTATGGTGAAGAATAACTGCCTCTGGTCTCTGTATGGCTTTTAGGAGTCTGGACTCAGATTTCACTATGTTGCTGCCGGGGAACGAGGAAAGCCACTTATGCTGTTTCTGCATGGATTCCCTGAGTTTTGGTGAGACCCACACACACAAGGGAAACACTTCTCTACTGGGATGCTGCCAGGCACAGATCGGAAATATGTTGTTGTGGAATCAGTCCACATTATACACATGGAGTCATAGATAATATTTGACACTC